TTAGTAAAAATTTAGCGAAACTAAAGGTTTTACCGTTTTGCCAAATCCAAAATGAGTTTAGACAAGCAACCTTAACTATAATCCTATGAAGGATTTTGACCATAATATTACGTAAAATTTGATTTATAATCTTACATAGAATTTCACTATAATGTATCTTAAATCTTTGAACTTATAAACTTGTATAGTTTTATAATGTAATATTTTAAAATATTACAAAAATCATAAATCTATAGAATATTGCATATTTGAATTAAGATGTAAAAAATCTTATATACTAATATTAGAAGAATCATTACTCAATGATCTGATAAAAAGTTATTACTAATATATTAAAAAGTTAAGAATTTAATAATGTATTCTAAAATAGGTTCTATAACTTTAATATATTGAAATTATTTCTTTAAAGAAAGTATTTTATATCAAAAATATTAAAAAAAATCATATTTAGCTTATAAAGTAAATTTTTAATTTTTTTATAATTTCATCTCTTTCTATTGCAAAGCTCCTATATGATCCCGAACTATAATAATAGAATTCACAAATGTAATACGAATACGTAATTAACATTATATTGTATGGTATAACTTAATCAATATTAATGCTAGAAAGATAAATTTACTACTATTAAATATCTCTCGATTAGATGAATCCAATAGTATAAAATTTATTAAAATTGAATCACTGGTTATTGGAATAATGGGGTATGTAGGATAAGTAAATTTGTAAAAATAAGCAACTTTTGGCAAAGTTTACATATAAACTTTATGCAAACTCAGATGTGAGTTATATTAGTATAGTTCAGGGTCCTGCTCCTATATAATATTTCTGATAGAAAAAATTATTATACCTAATAAATATTAAGCATTGAATTCTATCAAATAAAATTACCTCTCTATCATATTTTTATTAATATATTTAAGTAGAATTCCTAATAAGTCAAGTTGAATTAAGGCAATCAGTATATTATAACTTTTTTGATATATTAGAAGTGATTAAGATTACTAGATAAAATCTAAAGTTTAGCTAGTCATTTAAACGATAAAGGTAAAACTTGGTTAAATTATATTAAAACCTTGTTAAAAATTACGAAATTTAAAAAAGGTAAATCTATATCAAAGTTTATAAATATGATAAAACAATATTAAATATTTAATAAAATTTAGCGAAAATAAAGGCTTAGATATTTAGTTAAATCTAAAATGTGTTTAGATAAGTAAACTTAGAAGTGATTTAAATTAGGCTAGAAAATCTTATAATATAATATCATTTTAGTATCAACTTGCTTAATTATATACAAAAAAGATATCAAAGTATTATATAGCAGAATTTGAGCTAAAGTCAATTAGAAGCTTAAAATTAATACTATTAATATATATCTAAAACTGATTCTGGGATATGTTTGAATGACTTCCTGTATACCATTATAATTTATTTTTTTAGAACACATATTTTCTTTATTTAAGAATAATTTTTGATAAATAAATTTTAATATATATTAAATTAACTTTAATTAGCAAGTAAAGTTCCTTTTAAAATTTGGAAGAAAAAATTGAAGGATTAGGATTTACTTCAAAAGAATTAATAATTATGTTGATATAAGTTTTTAATTTGAAAGAAATTAACTCTCCTATATTTAATTTTAATTTTTAATTTAAATTGATATTCTATAAATTTAGTAAATTTATTATAATATATATATAATACAATTGTTACAATTAGAATGATAAAAATAAATAATTTATTCTATTTTTACATAACATTCAAATTAATTTTTAAATGTATATATTATAAGGATTAATTAATCATGATTCTTTTAAAAAAATTTACTATACAATCCACCAATGTTATACATATATCCTCAAAAAATCCATTCATTAATTGATAAACAATAAATAAGACAAGGCAAAGTAAACTATATATATTATAAATTGGGAATTGGAATCAGGTAGGCATAATATGGTTGTGATCTAAGAAAATCAAGTTCTGAGAAATTTTTGACTAAAATTAATATCTTATTACATTTTAATCTAAATGTAATAAAAATTAAAATGCAATTAAAATCTCAATTTTATTAAAAAATTCTCAGAACTTGATTTTCTTAGATTACAACCGATATGCATACGGTATAAAATAAATAAAATTAATGAAGATTAAAATTAAAAGAAAAACATTTTTATGCTCGTGTAATACAGAACAGAATTTATCCTAAGATTTCCATAGTTTCGATGTATCAGTTCAATTTTTGGTCAAATATATAGAATTCGGATTTGATAATTCCGGTTTGTGAAAGTGCATCGGATCATATCATATAGATCTTAGAATGTATTTTTTAAATTATTGAAAAAAAAAAAATTTTAAAAAAAAAAAATTAAAAACATTTCTAAAAGCTTGATATGGAAAGAATTTTTATTTTTAATTTTTATTGTTAAGGAATTTACATCAGGTACACTATATTTAGTAATCACAAAAGTTAAATTACGCGCAAATTTATAATTTTTTTTTTTTTAAAAAAAAAAAAAAAATTAAAAGAAATACAATTATTATTTTTAAAAAAAACCGCACCAATTTTTCTCTTCAATCCCTTAACGCTTGACAAAAAAAAAAAAAGAATTAAATCATCACCAAAACTACTTTTTTAATCATCAACATTAGTTTTCCTTTTGTAAAGAAAATCTTCGATGTCCTCTTTAGCTTGTCTTCTCATGTCAATGCTCAAACGTTTCGTCAGTTTAAATACGTGAAATGTGGTTAAAACTCCTTTCAAATATCTCAGTAAAACTTGAAGATGTGAATCTTCAAAACATTTATTCTCCGACAAAACAATTGTTGAAAGTGGTGGTTTAGAGTTGATCAAGAAACGTTTTAAAGGTTCGACTTCAAATTCCCACGATCCATTCAATTCCAGATACTTCAAATTTTTCAGTCGAATTACTAATAATAACCCGTCAATATTTAACGATACCCGGTCATTCGTTATGATTATTGTTTCAAGATTTGATGAAGATATGAAGACGAACTTTAATAAATCTATTGAACAAATTTCTGCGTTACATTCAAAATGTCGTAAAAATTGACAATTCAATCCAACTGATTTAATTATTAAGGATGTAGATTCCGCTTTATAAAACCTTTTTTGATTATAAATAAATGTCTGTAAAATCGGACAAGAATCTGAAACCAACGCATCAGGATTAACGGTGATCGTTGTTGGAAATAGATCATCAATTTCATAAAGAATCAATTTTGGAAAATGAGTAAAACTCAATGGCCACGCATCTTTACTCAAAAGGTTCCCTTCGTAATATCTTAATTCTTCCAAACTATATAAATACGCAATATCAGAAATAAATTCCAGACTTGAAGAATCCACTTGTCGCAAGGTTAATTTTTTCAATGTGCTAGCACGCTTTTTGAGACCATGCATGATATGATAACTATATAAATCACAATTTCTCAGTTCGAATTCCTCTAAACGAGTTTGTGATTCAATAAGAATTTGCAAGGCCTCAGATATCAGCAAAGATTGTGATTGAAGTTTATTCATATCAAATTTGATCGTTTGAATTTTGGTACAAACTCGAGAGAGATCAAGTAAAAATTGTCTCGAACTTTCCGCCTCTGCCATAGATTCATCCCATTCAAATTCGACCAAATGAGACAAAGAAACGTTGGCGTGAGGATAATTAATTATCGACATATAATCCTTCGTGATAAGGTTGAACCAAGAACCTTTCATCAAATGGGTAAAAAGTATGTCGGAAGTTGGAAAATCTTGTATAGGTTTTATTGAAAGATAATCCAATTTTTGAATTTGATTTATTAATAATTCGCACACCCTAACAGTTAACTCCTTGATCAATGACTTATCCTCACGAAAATCCTTGATCGATTTATATCTAGCAGGTCTTTGCTGTATTAATACGGAAAACACTACATTCCTAACCTTCACCAATGACGAGTTTCGATTATACTTTGGCGAAGAGATGTATTCAGCCCATTCTGCAATTGTCAAACCCAAATCATCAAGATCAAGCCTTCGTATAAATCCTATATAATTGAATAATGGAGGTGACACCAAAGGAACCCTTGGAGATCTTCTCCTCCTATTTTGAATCTCGCCTCCAGCAACCATCTCATTATGAATCAAACATTTAATGAAAGTCTCGGCAAGCTTTCCGGTTTTTGTTCGATGACGCAAAGTGTAAGCGGTTGTATTCTTCAAGATCAGCGCGAATCGTAGAGGTTGTTTCCATAAATATTTGATAGCATTTACACACCATAGACGATTCACCCTTATGAAAGCGTAAAGGGATTTGCTATCTTCATCAAGGTAGGAAAAGATCTGTGCTAGACAATCACCAGGCAAGGTAGACATTATATCAAAGACTGTAGTTCATTTGGAAACCAATCAAAATAAGTTGTCAATACTGCGGACTTTTAAAAAAATAATTATCTGTGGGTTGATATACCCCATCATTGGGAAACTTTACCAAAGTAAAAAGATACTACAAATGGTAATGCTTACCCGCGATAGAATGATTTTTTTTTTTTTTGGTCCCGAGAATTCGTATTAAAACCGCAATAATATAAAATACTATTGATGAATTTTTTTTTTTTTTTTTTTTTTTTTTTTTTTTTTGCAAGACAGGAGAGAGAACTTGATACACAAATTTAAATCCAACGTCAGAAATTTGGCGTATTATTAATTAGTTGGAAATGGATTAACAAGGTTACAAATTAGATTGTCATTGCATACTTGAAAAATTAATTTTTTGTAGCACGTTATGATATCTTGAGATTTGCTGCGCTGCGTAACCCAACCTTTGAAAATAAATTATCGCAAAGTGAAATATCGAAAATGAAATGGGAGGATAAACAAAATATTGAGGGTTAAATATTAAACAATCCAAAATAAACAAACATAAAGATCTCGGAGAAATTCGGAACATTCGAAATTTTTCGTATAAAGCTACAAACAAATCACATGTTACACAGAACCAAAATTTTCGGTAACGTGACCGGCTTTTATTTATTATTACGAAAGACCAATTTCACGTGTCACTGCACGTTCAAAAAAATGTTTCTGACGAGAATGAAATATTCTTACGACAATAAATCAATGAATATGAAAAAAGTATTTTTTGAGAGAATGCGTTGGCTTCCTGATAATCCACTACATATTTTTATTTATATTCTAATAATAAAAGTCAAATGAACGATTTTTGATGAAAGATGAATTATGCCATTTTATTTTCATTATGAATCATTATGAGAATGAAACTTATATTGTGAACATGAATCGATTTTTAAATAATTTAATTTGTTCTTCTACTTTTACGGTAAAACATGTATGGTATTAAAATACTTATCGAGAATTTTTTTTCATTGTAATTTTGTTTAATTTCTTCATCGGTCGGAAAAATCATCTGAAATAGTTTCTGACTTGTTACGCGAAGATTCACGTTTATAATTAATCCGCAGTCTCACTTCGGGTATGTTATTCTGTGAATCATTAATTCAATCGAAGCTGCGCATCAAACCGCAGCTAAAGCATTAATCCTGATTTTAATTGGTTCGGCCGTAAATTGCATTGTGTAAATGAACTGCGCTTTGAAACGCAGTAATAAAAAAAAGACATATAAACTCGCGATTAATAATCCTACTTTATTTTTTTAAGTACGATAAAATTTTAAAATTATTTATATTAATTTTTATTGTACCACGTTGATCGATTTTATCAAAATGAGCTCTTCATTGTCCGTCAAATTCTTTGCTGCTTTACCTTCAAACGTAGCATTCGATGATGATACCAAAGAATATATTACTAGTATATTATCAGATATCGAGGACGCTGACTCACTACGTGAAGCTACCGAACAATTCTTGATTGATGCTGGTATGAGAGAATCCGATTTGGATTCCTTATATGTGGCATTATCTTCCGCGCTAAGTTCATCAACTGCGGCAGCTGATGCCGACTCGGGAAAATTACCTGGTCAAATTTTAGAAAAATTCGATAAGGTAATTAATTAATTTTATGAATTCATCGCATATCCTTTAATCCTAATTAATCAATTTAATTTATTTATAAAATTGATATTCATCATAATAAAGTTAAATTTATCAACACCTACCTCCGTCAATTCCAATATTGAAAAGAAACCGGTCAAAACCACAAAATCGACTGCCTCAACTAAAGTACAAAAATCCGTTGTGAATGAATCGGAAATTGTTGCATACTCGCAACAATCAAGGTTTCATACCGAAACTCTAGAGACTCTATCAAAAGAAGTATGATATTTTTACATTTAACTTAAATTCATTCTCTCGTCGTTAAAAATCATTCCGTTTCATTTTAAAGGTTGATTTAAAAGATGTGAATATTACGGTCGGTAATAAAGAATTGTTGGTTGATGCAAGATTACAATTAAAAACCGGAGTTCATTACGGTCTAATCGGTCGAAACGGAATTGGAAAGTCAAGTATGTTCTTGCTACAAATGTTTTTTTTTATAAACCAACATAAAGTTTTTTTAAAATAATAATTTTTATAAAAAAAAAAAGCACTTCTTAAATGCATTGGACACGGGACCCTTGTCGGATTTCCTAAAAATATTCGAGTCCTTTACATTGAACAATTAGACAATATAGATGAAAGAGAAAATATTGTTCAAATTGTTCTTAAAGCCGATAAGGAAAGAACTCGTTTATTGAATGAAAAGCTAGCCTTACAATCTGCAGCTGAAAGTAATAATTCGAAAGAAATCGAATTTACTGTTAAACGTGTTAGAGCTGAAAGATTACAAAGAGAATTAGAAGAAGCTCAAAAAATAGCAATTCATAGAAGTGGTCGTAGAGGAGCTGAAGCAAGACAAGAATTGTTGGGAGTTGAAGCCAGGGTAGCTGAGGCTCAAAAGTATGTAAAGTAATGTGTGTCAATTTTTTTTTTGTGTGGAGAAGTCCTAATTGAACTTAAAATACGCAGAGCTTTCGATGAAAAACCAAACGAAGATTTTACTGCGGCAATTTATTTGCTTTTAGAGGAATTATATATAAATCTTGAACAAGTAGGGGGTTATAATAATAAATTAAGGATGTTATCAAGAAAAATTATTTTTTTTAAATGCGTTCGTTTTTTTTTTGAAAAAAGATTGGTGCGGAATCTGCTGAAGCAAGAGCACGAGAAATTTTATCAGGTCTTGGATTTTCCGAGAAACAGCAACATTCTCCAATGGCAACGCTTTCTTCTCTTTCTGGTGGTTGGCGTATGGTGAATATAATTATCGACTTTTAATAAAATATTACGTATTATATTCAAGTTTTTTTTTTTTTTTTTTTTTTGGTAATTAGAGAGTAGCATTAGCTCAAGCATTATTTTTGCGGCCGGACATTCTTTTATTAGATGAACCTAGTACGTCTATTATCTATTGTTGCTTTAATTATTACATACAATTAAGTCTAAACTTAAATTTTATTATAGCTAATCACTTGGATTTACCTGCCATTCTTTGGCTTCAATCGTATTTGAATTCGCTCACCGATACTACCATGATCATTGTCACACATGACCGTCGATTCCTCAATAACACAGTTACAGAAATCATTCGCTTCAAAGATTCCAAATTGACCTACCATACTGGTAATTACAACGAATTTGAGAAAAATTTAGAAGATGAACGATTGAAAAAAGAAAGAATGTTTGAAGCCCAAGAGAAGCAAAAAAAGCATATTGAATCAAGTATCCAAAAGGCACAGAAACGAGCTAAAGAAAGTGGAGATGATAAACTTTTGGGAGTTGTTGCGAGTCGCAAGAAGGTATAAATCAATTATTAATTTCTTCTTTTATTCCATTATCAAAGATATATTAATTTAATTTAATTTTATTAGAAACTTGAGCGTTTCGGTATGAACAAAACTGAAGATGGTTTTCGATTCAAATTGAATAAGCATAGAGCGGGATTTCATAATACGGATCGTGATGAGATTGTAGTCGAAAAAGCAGAAGCATCAATTAGTTGGAATATTCCATCACCTAAACCATTACGTCATCACGGTGCTTTATTACAAGTGGAAAACGTTTCATTCACTTATCCCAAAACCACAAAGTCCATTCTTCAAAATGTAACACTTAACATTGAAGAAGGTGCAAGAATTGGATTTGTTGGCGCAAATGGTGAAGGTAAATCAACTTTGATGGGATTACTTTCCGGTAATTTGGAACCCACAAGAGGTACTATAACAAGTCATCCTAGAATTAAAATGGGATATTTTGCTCAACATCATGTTGATTCATTGGATTTAGATGTTTCTGCCGTTGCATATATGAAGAGATTGTATCCAGAAATTAACGAACGTGATGCAAGATCCCATTTGGGAGGATTTGGAATTTCCGGTGATTTGGCAACTCTGAAAATATCTTATTTGTCTGGAGGACAAAAATCTAGGATTGCATTTGCGTTGCAAGTTTATAATGCACCACATATTTTATTACTCGATGAAATTACAAACCATTTAGATATGATTACGATTGAGACTATTGTAGAAGTTTTGGATGAATTCGAAGGAGCTGTAGTCATTGTTAGTCACGATAGATGGTTTGTTGAGCATGTTGCGAAAGTGGTATATGCTGTAAGAAGAGGAAGGGTAGAAGAGATGAAGGAAAATGGTGTGCGACAATATGTCAATGATGTTGCAAGAGAAATTGGAGTAGATATAGAAGAATTTGACGATTAAACAAAACTTTTTTTACATGCATCATATATGAACCATTTTCTGTCGGTAGTTTAAGATAATTAAGCTTTTTATTTATTATTTTTTTTTTAAAGAAAAGATATTTATTATTTTCTATTTTATTTTATTATGTACGAAAAAGTATTTATATTATTTATAAATTTATGAATTCATGTTAAAATTTGTTTTTGGTAAATTTATTCTATACCTGAATTTATTAAGATGTTTGTTTGACAATATAAATAGGATGAGCGAACAATAATAATTAGGAACTTTTGTACCTGGACTAAGAAAAATAAAGAATGATATTGAAAAAAATAAAATTTGGAGAAAGCTTGACAAATCTCATGAACAGCCTTTATATTGAAAAGTTTAAAAATTGTTATTAACATTTAAGCAATTTAAATCTATAATAGCATTAGCAAAAGTCATGCTAAATCATTAATTTTTTAAGGAAATTTGCATTCTCAGAGAAAATCTAGGGGTCATTAATTTATATAAATACCTTTTTATTAAAGTATATATTAAACATAAATAATTAATCTCCTAAAGACTAGATATATTTTAAAAGACTTAAAAATATTTTTTATAATTATTATATTTATATAAATATGATTATTAATATATATTTTTACTATTGCTTCTT